GGCCGGCATTCTCTCATCCGCTCTTTCTCTAATAGGAGCATTTCTTGTTCCCATTTCCGTATCGTATTTCCCACGGTGGATACCCCTTTTGACAAGTCTTTCAGCCGCGTTCGGTGCCTTGTTTGAGGTGCGTTACTCTCGCGACTAGCGTCCAATACTGACTTTTTGGCCGCCAGAGCCTTGCTACGTACTCAATGATGCCGTACCTGTCTTGGGAGTATGCCACAGCACTATGTCTCCCATCTAGTCTCGCAATACTATCAACCATAATCATATTGTAAGTCTGAGCCCTATTCTACGACTTACCACTGAGATGATATTAAGCTCTTTTGTGTTTGATGACATAGCTCCAGCGGAGACCATGTGCATCACCCACTTCTTCTTGCTGTTAGGCGAGATCACATTGATGATATTTTAGTACCGAGCACGCGGACAGGGCCAACAGAGTAGCAGAGAGGGACTAGGAGAAAGAAGGCCAACACATAAGGAATCCAAAGGAAATGATTTCATAATTCGAAGTATCATTCGTCACGGGATTTTAGCTGTCCTTATTGTCGCCATGATACCAGCCAGTGTGTGTACCAATAAGGTAAGTCTGTCGCACGGCTATCAAACGTTGCTGATGTTCCAGGGGATACCGTACTCACTATCTCTCACCATCTTGCTGGCTTTGTATAAAACGAACACCTTGTTTATGACGTTACCTCCAGCAATTCAGATGATCGTTGCGTTAATTAATGCCACACGGAACAAGACGCACGGTGGTCGAAAGGCCAACCAAGAGCATTCGAATCTCGGTTCTGAGGAAAAATCTCTGGATTCTTTCGACGGAATAAACGACCGTCGGATGAGCGGAATGAGCTTCATGTGCAGAGGCACATTTCTCACTTCGTCCATCCCTCCTCCAACTCAATGCACAAGTCATGACTAATACCTTACTCTCTCCGAAGTCATCTTTAGGCGCCTGCCGTGGAGGGTAATCCAGTAGCAATGCTGCCACTACACAGAGACACGATCCTATTTTCTTATATCTCTTTTCTAAACCTCTAATATATAATGGAGATTAGTATCAGATTATAGCTATAGACGCTTTCTATCTTTCCAACTTATTATTTTTTAGAAGAATTAATGAATAGAGCTATAAGCAGAGACTTAGAGAAGGTAGTATATAATATACCTAGCTAGACCCGTGATAGATTATGCACTATAAATTTCGAGACCTTTTTACGGACTGTTTTCGAGGCTATACATCACTATTATTAGGCTTATGCCTCCTCTACCATTGTCGTTCTCGAATCTGGGTCCTACATGGCAAGGAGCTAGCTGCGCCTCGAAGGATAATTTCGTTACAGACCGGAAAGCACCTGTCGGTTGGCCCTGCATGATTCAGACAGATTAAGTACGAGCAGTGCGACCCAGGTGGAATCTGTCGCCGTTGCGTGAATCGATCACAAAATCCAGGTGATGATTGGAAACTAGGCTGCTGTCGCGATACACTTCCTGATCTTATGATTTTTCTCCTACCAAGTATGTTCCGAACATGAGTATTGAACAGTGCTAACAGATTATAGCCTGGATTTCCGACCTCCACAGCAAAAAGACGTTAATCGAACTGTGCGAAGCGAATGTCCATGATTGGGGAAAGTCTATGATCAAGATCCAATTGACGCCAGGATGGGGCTTGCCCTGGCTTGAAGTTGACGTCTATGAATTCAAGCCGAGTAATCCTGAATTGTTACGGCAATTCCAACACCTCAAGGATGCAAAAACGGGCCAAAACATGCGTGTAGGAAAGGCTTCGCCTCCACTTGGGCTACAGAACATTGATTATATCGAGGATGAGACCAAATATGACACTCACGTCAAACAGATCGCTGCTCATTTCATGCCCATCTTTGTCGGACGTTACTATGCGGGTGAAAAGGAAGAAATTACTGACGGAAGTTTACTACCTCATCATCACCACCTATATTGTTGCACACACTTTGACCATACCTGAAGAACACAAAATTGTCCTCTCAAAGCTATCAAACTATAGACCAGATCGCTACGGCGACAAGACTTCGCCGCGTCTGGTGAACCGACAAATCAAATGTCAGAATAGAGACCTATATACAAGGCAACGAAGAAGTTGGCCGAGCAATCCTCGACCACAGTGTATTATGTAAGCAAGCTGATAACTGTATATCGGCGGATAAGACTTCAGGGTTGAATTGAGGCCTTGAAGCCTGAAATCATGTCTATATGATGCGAGAAAAGCAAGACGAAATTCACATTAGAAGAACCTCAAAAGCCCTAATTATGGACCTTGACTCTAGAACGATCAAACCGCCCGAATTGATCCGGAAATTTTGAGAATTGCATGGAGTAGAGCCACTAACCATTGTGCTTCTCATTGGGTTGTTCTTCTATTATTTCTTCCATCTCAAGAACCAATTCATCAGCGACGTCTGCCGCACCCCATTGTCGGAACCAGCCTTCTAGAACATTTTTGAATTCAAGAACCCAGGCATGCTGTGGTCCCCATTGATCAATGATCAATGATATTGCAGTGCGCAAGTTCTGCTCTGCTTCCAACTTGTTTCCCCGGTAGAAGTGGCTATAAGCAATAATTTTCAGGGATTCAATTCTTTCAACAGTCCTTTTGGCGTACACTTCATAGCTGTTAAGCAATGAAGAGACGTCTCTTGCTAGAATCTCTGCCTCGTCATGTCGACTTTGTCGGTTCAGATTATGCGCTAGATTGAGCATCACTCGTGGAGTGCAAAGTCCAGGTACGGCACTACTTCCGTGCAGTTCGTTGAATAGGCCACGAAGATGTCGTTCTTCTCCCAGATGATCCGTAAATCCATACACTCGCTTTATATAATCGAGACGAACAGATATAGAGAAGCGGTTGAGTATGCCGAGCTTATCATTCAGCACATCGCAGGAACATTTCCACATTACCGCCATAGCCTGGACAAGAGATTCTGAGTCGAGCTCAGCAAGAAGCCGACATATTTGGCCCCAATGTGCTCCATGCGGGATGACCTTGGAAGCCATATCCTTGATGTAACGGCGCAAAGAAAGAGAAACCTCAAGGTTCGCTGTTTGTATCAGGTGGATAAGAACTTCAAGAAAGCAGGCCAAAGTTCGTGAATGCTCGTCCCTCAAGATTTCTTCAACTAGTGAAGATGCTTTGGATAGAGCCCGACCAAAATCAGTATAGCTCTTTTTCTTCGCAAAAATTGTGGCGGAATAGCAGAGGGAGTCGAAGTCGTTGCACCGATCATACCGTATTTCGGCGCCGCACGAATTGACGAGAGCCCCGTCTCCGTTGAAGGACATTTTCCTACAGGAATCTTGGAAATATACTCTGATTGTGCGGAGCAATTCCTCAGCGACCATGAGAGATTGCGGTGGAGATGGTGTATGTAACCCTCTAACGCAAGGTGGAAGGACATTTTTGATATTGTTCCAATCTGTAGCAAGAACGGAATGAGTCCCATTCAACAAGAGCATGGGTGATCTTGCTGTGGTACTATCCCGGCTGTCCGCGGAGGGCTCCGTTGGCGCGCCGCCAGTGTGGTCCGACTTCGGAGGGTCTTGCCTTCTTGCAGGCCATGTTATATGGTGAATATGATTTGTCACCCAAGATTCTTGCTCCATCGAATGACCATCATACAAGGGCACAGTAGAGCCAAGTGCAATACTTGGAAGCTCCGACGACGCAGTGGGATGACAGCATTTTTCATTCTGTGGGAATACATTCACGGCAGGGTTGGTATCGTAGGCATGTGCGCTGAAGGGACTAAGAGCGAGAGCCCGTGCGTCAGGGAGGTTGTGGCCATTATACGTAGCTTGAGGATCACCTACTGCTCTTCGTTTATGCTGAGCGCATCGAACACATCAATACTTACTTTCACTTGAATCTCGCCGGATCACAGAAATCGAACCAGGTTCTGCCTCTGGATAGCTGGTCTGCGTTGCAGATTCCGGGTTAGACTGGAGGCGCATGTTGTGTTGCTCCTTCTGCCTTGACCAGGGCCTATCGTCAGCCTGCAGTTGACACACCGCCGTGTCTTTGCCAGGTTCACCTTCCATACATATCATGGTATCATGGATGCTTGAAGAGTTCAATTCAGACATAGCTGATGGGTCTCTGCCAATATGAACCGGTGAAACTGTATCGGAGTTTCCCTTCGTGTTAGGAACGGTGATTCGAGGCGACGCTGTCGCAGTGTTGGCGCGGCCATCACTTGTTCTCAGCTTTATCACACCGGCGCCCATATCGCTTCTGGTACCGGGATTTGGGTCGTGCGCAGATGCACCCTTGTGAGACGTCGTAGGTGATTGCGGAACAGATGAGCTTGAAGGGCTAAAGGAGCCCGTTCGACTTCTGCATTCGCTACTGATTTCAGAAGTGACTTTTCCCCCGTTCTCAGCCCGGAAAGTCGACGAGCTATCCTCGCCACCTTCTCTACCCACTCGGGCTGTCTGCCCTTCGTGGTGTTCAATCACAGAGGGAGAAATCGACAGAGTATATCTCTGCCTTTGCCTGTCCGGCATCACCGTAGAGGGGCGTGGGCTCAACGTTTCATCATCCATAGAAGTGTGGTCGACCGAAATGCATGAGTCTGAGCCAACACTGGTGGCCTGGCCTGAATCTTGTAAAGACGGAATACAAATGTCGCGAGTCGGCGTCGTGAGGGCTGGTGGTGACCAGAAGCTGCCATTTGCAATTGTTTTCTGTCGCTTTGCTCCTCGTGAACATGCCTCAATAATCCAGGGCGGTTTTCTATGTTTCTTGGCCAAGCTGACATCTGGTGATCGACCTGCTGGAGAAAGCATTGCCGGAGCTGCACGTGTCGTTGCCGCGTCGTCTGCAGCTGACCTATTGGGCAGCCTCGTTGCAGTACAAGATTGCATAACATGATCGGCCATTCCTTGCCCAGCAGCGTCAGAGCCGATCTCAAGATCGGAAGCAGTAAATTGCTCACCCGAACTCGAGGGACTCGCTGTGCTCAAAGAATGGTCACCAGTGTCAGATTTCCCATAGATTATGAAGGAGCTTCGACCATTGCCTTGTTCTATGGGTGTGAGTTGAGGTCTCGGACGCTCTCCTGCTGAATTTTGGCGATAGGCACCTTCGCCTTGGTCCTGGTACCTACTTGTCCCTATCGTTTGATCACCCCGAGAATCTTCATTCTCGAGAAGGCAAGCATTCAAGTCGATGCTGGCGGTATCGTCCATGGGTCTGTCCAGTTGGCTTGGTCTTGATGAAACTTCAGGGGCTGACACTTCAGGGGCTGACACTTCAGTGGTATTGTAGTAAGTTTGATGGCACTGTTTTGCAAGCTCGCGATCCGCCGGCGATACACCCATCAATTCGCTTCCAAAGCTGGGCATCAATGACGCTTCAAGGCCATGAGCGATGCTGCAAGGACTCTGGGCCACCGGATCTTCTGTTGAGATCGCGGAAGCGGCATCTTCAAGTTCTATTAGGGGCGTATGATCTTGAACATCATGAGCCTGTCTATTCTCTGAGCTATTAAGGATAACATCCACGTCTTGATCAAGTCCCAGCTCGTAGTAATCCGAGTAGTGGCTGCCGAGGCCAGGTATCATAGGGAAGAACTTTTTGAGAGTTGCTACAGCAACTTTGTCGAGATCTTTCCATTCTTGATGATACTTGCGAACGTATTCTTGAAAAAGAAACGAAGTTACACCGGTCAGTTTGCGAATACTGCGATTGATCAGTACCATCTATGCAAAATAGAGCGGACATAGCCTTACTATGAGTCAATTTTGAGGTCACCAAGTACTATCCACATGCCTGGTGGCATGGACAATAATTTCACACCAGATTGATACATCTGTAGCATTTGGGCACGATCTTCCTTCGGTGCTTCAATCCTTGAGGCGATAGCTTGAATAGCGTCCGTGATTGGAGAAAATGCCCGTCGATTCTCCACAGTTGCAACGCAAAGGAATGCGAGTGCCACCTGGAAGAAGCGACGTCCTGTGTTAAATCGCTGTTCAAGTTGCTTGTACTGTTGCCATATTTGCTTCAGAGAATTTATTGGTAAGCTCGGCGGGGCCAATTGGTGAATTTGCTGTGGGGGAATCGCATTTATGAGCTTAGCCAGATTATGCTTTGCGGTATCTGATAGCATTAGCTTTGGCATGGTCTTCGCATGATCATCTGCTAGCAGCTGGAGTTTGTCGCTGACATCACTACAGAACTTTTTTGGACGTCCCGGCTTCGTGGAGGAAGCGAAGCGAGGTTGGCGTGCTGTGCTAGCATTACGAACTTCTCTAGCATCGCAATGATCAAACTCGACATCATCCTGAAGCTCGGCATTCCGATCAGACCGCTTTTTATGGCGTAGCTCGCTATGGGATCTTCTGCTGCGAGTAGCAGCATCGTGAACTGGACTTGTCTCATTGGGTGAGTTACGAGTAGCCCGCTGTTGATGATAATTGTGGCCGATCAATGATTCGCTGGTGATGGTGCCACCCTGGTCCTGTCCGCCGGGTGGGATCTGCTCCACCTCCTCTCCCTGATTATCCAAGCCGTCATTAGGTTTAATCCGACTATTACTTGAAATCTGGCAACGAGACTCGGCGACGCTATTACTCGCTGAGTCGGCACGCTGAACATCAGTGCTGTCAGCCTGAGAAGATTGACAAGTCTCTGTGTTGAGCTCTGAGGCTAGAATTTGCAATGCTTGAAGTACGTCCACTGTGGTTGAAGATTGCTCGAGTCGATCAGCGGTACGATAGAATGGCTTTTGCAAGGGCTGTCAAAAGCGTTAGTGTTGCGTAAACTCGGAGTAAAGCAACGGCTACCGAAGCGACCAGATCCAGGCATTTCGCAACGCAGCAGAATGCTGATCGCACAGATGAGGGTTCGAAATCGAGATGTGCTTCCGCGGCAGAAACCATTGCTCCGGCCTACACATGGCCGAAAGTAGATGATGGGAAAGTGCTTTTGATCAGTGCCCGGAGTAGAAGCACTCTTTATTAGAAAAAAGTCGTCTGCATCCGAGAATTTACCGAGAGCTATGGCCAGTGTCCAGCGCTTATCATGTGAGCTTTGACCTCTAACACTTGACGCCCCGCGACGCCGCAAGCACGCGATGAGCAGATCACCTATTAGGCGCAAAGCTGAACAGCGATCCAACAGGGGGTACCAAAACTCACCGATCACCGATGTGTCTCCGCGCACAGGCCGCATCACCAGAATGTACTCAAAAAACGTCAATTTATTAATAGATTAGCAGCCATGGCTACGAATGCGCCCTCCACTATATTTTACTAGGTACTAACATCGTCTTAGTAAGTCAGAGATCCGGGTACGAATTTCCTCGAGTGTAATACCGTTCCAGACATCTAAAATATGCTACTTTAGCTCCTCATCATTCTGCCATGTCCTTTTCCTTAACCTCTGCTTTAATATAGCCTAATAGACTTCTATAGGATTTAGATTAGGACTCTACGCGTAGTGGTAATCGACTTATATTCTCTCTTTAAGCCTAGCCTCCATAGCTAGGTTAGTTTTCCCTATCTTACTACCTTTTCTAGGCTTCCCATACGAAGGATCTCTATCTTTAACTAGCTAAAAGGTATAAGAGTACTAGGCCTTAAGGGCCTTTACCTACTTTATATAAATAGGTAGTATCTTCGAAATATAGTACTCTATTATTATTCTATTACCCTTTGGCTTATAGATAACCTTATGCTCGTGTTAATTCTACTAGGATAGGACTCTAGCCTTATATTAAACCTAAGTCTCATTCTTACGGCGTCGTGGTTTACCTGATTTTCAAGGCCTCCTTACTTTAACTTACTTATTATTATAGAAGATGAGGTCTTCTTTATGGAACCAGGAGACGTGGCTTATAACGTAGTATTTCTAGCCTTGTCTATTAGGCTTATACTAAAGATCTTAAGGCTCCTTAGCTATCCCTTGCTCACGTAATATCCACCTAGTTTAGTACTCTATAGGGTCTATATAAGCCTCATCTATATAGACCCTATATTTAAATGGCTTAAGACCCTAATCCTAACGCTTTTCACCCCATATACGTCTCTCTTTAAGGTTATATTTTAAAATAGGCTTTATCCATCTCTATTTATAGCGCCTTACTACGATTAAATAACGTAGGAGGGAACGCCGAAGTGTATTATTCAAGACTTAAATATTATATTTCTCCTTCTACACGTTGTAACTCTGGTTTTGATAGGGATTCCGCAATAGGGATAAGAGGAGATTAATTATAGTCTTATTAATCTTTTAGGGTCTTCCTAATCTCTTTAACTATTTCCTAAGCCGGCAAGTAGATGGTGAACCGTGTAATTTGCGTTGAGAGAGCTAATTATAGGCTATTAAATATGGGTACTCATATACACGTGAGAAGGCTCTAAGGGTGTTTTTTAAGGGTATACGCTCATCCCAGAGGGTGTAAAAGCGTGCCTTTTAAGGAGTATTAGCCTTACAACGATGAGGCTGTCTTTCCTCCATAGTACTTAGCTATAGATAAGGTTAAGAAATGGTATTATAGTTGAAAATAGGGGGAATATTGAGTATATTTTAATAGATAGCCTATATAGCACTAGCGCGCGGAGACACATCGGTGATCGGTGAGTTTTGGTACCCCCTGTTGATTGGTTCGCATGCGTTGCGGGTAAATTCTTCTTTTCAATTCAAATTTGAACCTGAAGTTCCCTTATAACGGAACAGCAACTGGTGAAGCAAGTATGAACATTTGAACATATTCAATCCCTGACTGTCCGCGGGAGCCTGGTGTATTAGGGGTTTGTGGCTTTTTTTGCCAAGGGTTGTCAGGTTCCATGCGCTGCTTGTGCCACATTGGTGCAGATGTTGTACCGCGCATGAGATCGACAGGCGAAGCCAAGCTTATTGATGTTGCAACATCTTCATGCTAGCACTCCTCATGCCACTTCAAAGGTGCCAATCACTTGCCTCTGGTTCCACCCTGGAGATCCAATACGGTCAGCATGATACATGAGCCAAATGTATCATAATTGGTTTTGCCAATGTCTGCGTCGACAGAATCTAAACTCTGCTCATGCTTAACCTTGCGGATCGGGCGGCTGTGAATGTCCCATTGACCGCGAGGATGTTCTGGCTCAGCTATAGCACCAAGCGCACTATCAGGTATCAAATGACAGAACTCAGCCTTAGTCGCTCCGCCCGGGCAATCTCCCATCACCAATAGTACGCGTTCTGCGAGCGGATGTTCTTGAACGAGCATCGTCCTTGCGCTAGTGTTGTGGTATCTTAAGTCTATGGTCCAGCGATTCGCGCTGGTTTTAGGTTTGACAGTACTACGACTTGATCCTTATTGCATGCAATAATAGAGGCTTCAATTGGATTCTGCCTTTCCTAGCTTAGCCATATATCTCTCCACGCCTTCTACTGCATCTTGTGGTGAGCGCATGTACTCTTGGAATAGAGACAACACCTCTGCTAGAGAGAAACGATTCTGCGGGAGTTTCTCGGCGAAAGCCGTAGCTAAGGTATCGATCTTGTATGAGTAATCTTCCATTGTTCCTGCCGAGTCGCAGTCGTTGTCGTCATACACCCGCTTGTAGAAGTTGTAGAAGAGCTCATAGTTCATTTCTGAGGTCGTGCGACCAAGCTCGATCCGGATAGTTGCATAAGAAAGCTTGGCACGATACACGCATGTCTCGCGCGCACACGAACCATAGTATTAACGATATTTTTATCTACTACCGCTATACTATACCCCTATAACTATAATTACTACTATATATTAGATAAATATAACCTTAGAAATATATATATATACTCTTTTTATTACTTTAGAGTACTTTAAAATATAAGAGTATATAATTAGTTAGAGATTCTTAGAATCTACTCTCTTTACTCTTTTTCTATAGTTTTAGAGATATTATAGCTAATATAAAGAAATAAAAAGAGTATAGATATACTCTTAAGACTATATTTAACTAATTTATAGTAGTAAATATAGTTATAGAGGTATAGTACGGTGGTAGTAGGTAAAAATATCGTTAATACTATGGTTCGTGTGCGCGCGAGACATGCGTGTATCAACTGCCAAGCTTTCTCATGTAACTATGGATAAACGGATTACCTATCAGTGAAGCTGCCCCGATCAATAAACTAACCGTCGGCTTTAAGAATGGGCTGCATGATTAGCGCGATGTGACAGAAATGGCCGAATTGCGTAATTTGCTCTCTTTGTGTTACCTGTACAAGGGTTTGCCAACTTCAGGTCGACATTTGACCTCCAGAATAACCTTATTTTTACGCATTAAGACGGCGTCCGGCTATACTAAATCCATGGTTTCTCTTAGAATTACCGAAGTTCTGCCGAAATTGAATAGATTCGAGTTTCCTGACGGGCGAAAAATAATTAGGGGGTTTTTGAAACCTCAGCTGGAGGTCAAAATTTGACCTTTTTTACCGACGGTTGCCCGTTTTCCGCCGAGTATTTGAAATTAGATCTCACCGTCAGCTTAAAACCCGAGCAGATGACCAGGGTATATAAGACGGCGTGGAGCTAAAGGAATGTGGCTTCGGGATGGCTGAACTTTACCTCATATAGTATGGTTGGACGTCAAAATCGACATTTTTCGACGTTTTTCGACGTGCAACTTTTTTACGCTCGTCGACGACGTCCAGTTCGCGAGAACTTCGGCTAATCGACGTTTTTGACCCCGTCTCGTGACATATGCTGCTTACGTAAAAATATACTTTTTGTTTCTTAGCAGATTTGAACGATTTGGAGTATTTTGAGGTGATGTTCAATAATGGACGACGAGTCTACCTTTACCCTTGTCCTTGCCCAACAGTATTGCCTATTCGGGCTATTTGTAGAGGCTGCCGTTGAGGCTATCGATATAGATGACCGAGGTGGCGTACGGAGGTGTGATTCGACGGCGTTGGTGCCACAGATTCTGGATGAGATCCGTTCTGGGAACAAGGAGGCGAAGATGAGAGGTCTAATTGGCGTTCGAATGGATACCTTTGATGAGTTATTACAGACTCTGAAGGGGTATGGGCTTAAAGACGGGTGGAAGGTTTCTGCCGACGAAAAACTCTTCATTTACTTACATATCTGTCGAACTGGGCTCTCTCTCAGTAAAGCTCGATGGATCTTAGGAAGAGATACCTGTACCTTGAGCTCGTAAGTCGCTCAGGTATTACCTATTACCTCATTACTAAAAGTCATGATAGGATATTCAATCAGGTGACTCACTCTTTATGTAAACTTCATAAGGATATTGTGAAGCTTCCTGAAGATACCGTCGATATCCATCCTAGTATAGCTACAAATCCGAAGCTACAGCCGTTCAAGGATGCTGTTGGCGCGATTGATGGTACTCATATACCTATATCTGTACCTGAAGAGCAGCAGTTAGCTTGGTGGAATCGGAAGCACTTCATCTCGCAGAACGTACTTGCCGTAGTCGACTTCGACCTCAACTTCATGTTTGTATATCCTGGTTGGGAGGGCTCAGCTCACGATCTTCGCGTCTTTGATAAGGCGATTGAGGATGGGTTGACGTGTCCACGAGGGAAATACTACCTTGCTGATGCTGGGTATACAAACCGTCAACATACCATGCTACTCACGCCATATTATAAGACGAGATACCATCTACGAGAGGTAATAGCTGCTGGACAGAAGCCGGAGACGAAGGAAGAACTCTTTAACCTTCGTCACTCACAGCTCCGTAATTGTATTGAGCGAGTATTCGGTGTGCTTAAAGCACGCTTTGAGATTCTATTAACGCCTAGGCCAAATAGGAGTATTGAGATGCAGACAGACCTTATATTTGCTCTTACTGCCCTCCATAACTTCATGAATGTTCGCCGAGATGACACTCCGGGTATGAATTCGCAGGTAGTCGACGAGGAACCAGATAATTTACAACCGCTGTTACTCCGTGATGCGCTGGAGCAGAATAGCGATAGAGATCGTATTGCAGAGTCGTGTTGGAGGCAATACCAGGCATATATAGAAGCAGAAAATGAGGATATAGAGGATGAGGTTGTATACTAGAATTATTCAATATTCAATATTCACGTAGTATAGTGGGGCATAGTATCTAGGGCATAGTATATGCGGATATCTTGCGTAAAGATGTAATAATTAGAGGTATAGTAGTTGCCAAGCACGCAGCGACTTTTACCACCGGGCTCTCTCCGGGCTAGGTTTTACTACGAAATATTAGTCTTTTACGTGGCTAAGCCTGGCCCGGGGAGAACCCGAGGGTAAAGTCGCTGCGCAACACTACACCTCTATCGTTATATATATACGCAAATACAACGCAGTTTCGACGCGAATATCCATATACTATGACGTATATAATATAGAATAGGTACTAGCGTCTCCTAATTTAGAAGTGAACAGAGCTTAGTAATAGTAGATACTACGTCACTACTACTATTACGGATTCTCAACTCTATTAACGTATACTCAACTTCATATACTTTCTATCACGACTATAGCTGCCATGGACGCCCTGCTACTGTACCAGGTACCTCAGAACCTTCGCTAGTTGTTTCTATCTCCCTATCCTCATCTGCAACTGTCAAACGGCTAACTTCTGGTATAGGAAACAACCCGGAGGCAGTTCCACCTCGCTCGATAATCTGGCCTCTAAGAAACTTTTTTGCTCTCTCATCACTCATACCAAGGAAGAGATTGGCTGTACCAGGGTTGGCGATAATGAGACAGGCCTTATCGAAGTCATCGTCGGTAAGTAGAGCAGCGTACTTCAATTCTAACTTCTTGACTGCCAACTGGATAGGATCTTGTTGTCTCGAGGTATGTTTTTCAAGCGTCCGAGTAAAGTCACTCTGTGTCTTGAGGATAACTTCAGTAATACTCCGAATAGCTTCGCTTCTCGGTGTAACTCTATTCTTAAGCTTAAGGCGCTGAACCGCAGCTTTACGGTCCTCGATCCGGTTCTTGTCATCATCAGAGTATGTATTCCTATCCACACTTCCATCACGTCTCTTCTTACTTCGCGTTGTAGTAACCCTATCTCTAGGGTTACTATGGTTGGCGGCCGGCGAATCGCCACGGTAAACCTCATCATCACTATCCTCATCAACCTGTATAGCTGACGCTGATGAAGCCTTGGTAATTGACCGCGAGTACTGGCCAGTAGCCACCACGTCTCCGAATATTTGTTCAAGCAACTCAAGGTGAGGTGGACCTTCACGTCTAAACCTCCTACGATCCTTATGAGTAGTGAAGTACTCATCCATAGTCTCAGGATCTGCCTGGTACGTCCCTAACGTGTCGCTCCACCACCAACCTGATAAGGCGTTTAGGTGCTCATTCCACGCTTTATAGACCTCCTTCCAGGTTCCGAACTTCGACCTTACCATCGCGGCAGTCAACTTAAAAGGTACGTGTTCTCCTAACTCTATTTCTGCGGCTGTCCACACGGCCTTCGGAAAGGTACCACCGCCTGTACGAAGGCTGAGTTTCCTCAATAGAAAATTCAAGAGCTGAATCTCAATCGCAGGTGTCGCCCACGTCCGCCCTTCATATTTCGGCTTCGGTCCACTTGACACTGCCCTCTTCGGCGATGGGGCAGACGCCTGTAGACCTATAGTACCACTTCGCCCACGTTTCGAACCAGATAATGAAGAGTCGGATAGCGATTGAAGACTATCGGCGACTGGCGGCGAGTCGGACTCCTCGTCTAGTTGCTTACGTAAAAGTATACTTTTCTGTTTCTCTGCAGATTCAGACGAATTAGCACTCGTAGAGTTGTCATGTACAAGGAGTATAGGGTCGATGACGTCGTCAGGCACGTGGTCAGCCATTTTCCACGACGTGGAGTTGATGAGTTTGACTTCAATTTGGACGTGGGAGAAACGGTATGCGTGCTACCCCGCCTTAAGATCGTATTACTAACTAATTACTGAGCGACTTGACCTTCAGCTGACTTTTCAAACACCCAGGACTTCTGGAGGTCGAACTAATTGAAAACTATCGACGGGTGGCGTCCGGACGCCGTCTCTACGCTTACAAATAAGGTTATTCCTGAGGTCAAAATCTGACCTCAAGTTTCAAAAGGCCCCTTACTTGCTGCTCAAAAACGTCGATTTTGACATTCAACCATACCTAATATAGGTAAGTTCAGCCATCCCGAAGCCACAATCTTTTAGTTCCACGCCGTCGTCTAATCCCTGTCTTCAGCTCGGGTTTTAAGCTGGAGGTGAGATTCAATTTCAAACACCGGTCGAATATGGGGTATTGAACGTCAGAAACGTCGAAAATTGAACGTCAGCTGAGGTTTCAAACACCCCCTCAGCTCTGTGGCAGGAATGCCTGCCTTGCTTTGTGCAACTTATCAAGGTCAGCTTTTGTTCCGGATCTTCAGAGCGAGAAGACCTCAAACTTCGCTACGACATGTCGCTGGCGCGCTTCCAGCTCGCATATAGTCCTAGAAGGCCATTGCCACCTTGCGAAGGACCAAAGCTGTTGCCATTCAAGAGGCATAAGGGTAATATCCACTTCCTAAAGCTTCTTAGTTCGTCGCCGCGCTTGGACGGATCTGAAGGAGCCGAAGGAGGTCACAGCTATGTCTTCAAGGTTCGCATAGGTAAGAAGAAGTATGCACTAAAGGTCGTAAGTAAATACGCGTATATTTAATCACTGCTTTGTCGTTCAAGCCTAATATACGTCTAGTTCAAGTTCTTTAGTGTCGAGCAAGAACGCTCTTCGGTATTTCCTACCGATAGGGTCAAGGCAAGCGATGAGATAATCACCTATCACTCCGATCCATTTTATGCAGAGTGTAGAGCATACGGAAAGCTGCAAACCCATGAGCAACAGCAGCAAGAACAACGAACAAGAGACGAGAGGCGGCAACATCGGGAACATCCACACCGACTAGCTGTGCCCTGCTACGGCTATCTTTATCTCCCAGCAGAACAGTATGGGGAAATTTTCAGCGAGCAATTTGGGATTCGAGACTGGGACTGGCCAGAAGAAGATGAAGACAAGAGCTGGCGGGAGAAGCCACCGTTCCGAGCTTTGGTGAAAGAGCTCGTAGAGTCCAAGGAGGCCATCGTTAATGCAGAAGAAATGGAGCGAGACCTACACGAACTGAGGAATTTGGGAATATACCCAGTAGACCTGTACGCGAGGAATTACCTGGATGGAAAACTTGTTGATTTCAGTAGCGCGATGATATCTCCACACTGGTGGCTTGATTCTCTCAGACCACTGCGGCGCCAGAGGGTGTTGGACGAGGAGCTTTTGCTATTCAGAGAGATGATCAGAGAGGCACAAACCGATTCCTGAGATGTAACGGTGATTCACTAGTATAGAAAATACAGAACCAACACGTCCTGGGTAAGAGCATTCGGAGTGGTAATTAGCAGATGCCGCTGGAGGCTCTTTCGAAGGAACGGTGACAATCAAGAGGATTGACCTTAGAGATCTCCTCAACCCCCCAGTCATCCGCGTAACCCTCTACCAGTCGTGCAGTATTTCACTAAAAGTAATGATATGTCGGACTGTCCTATTGTCAACACCGCAATGCCGCTCCATTCTCGAGGTCCGAGCGAAGCAGAGGGCGGGGCAAAGCTGCTGATCGACTGGCGGGTCAGCTGATTCGGCATCAGGGATGCCACCAGCAGCCTTGCCAGTCAGGTGGATGAAACATCCAGGCGCCACCTGTACTGTGGGCTTGGCAAGGATGAGGTATCGCTGTCCACATCTACCTAAATTTCTGAAGAAGGTATGCGCCGTGCATATTATCGTTTGGAGGATGAAATCGAGCTGAATTAGGTAACTTCGTTTATGACCACTTTCAGCCGGTATCAGGGTTTGCGTCCCGGCATTTGTTTTACGAATTTATTTTCTTGAAGACATCATTCTATGAGAGATTTACGATGTTCGCAATGGTAGCATGTCGTTCCGATCCCAACCTTGCATTTGTATCATCGCCCATTGTATGACACTGTGGTACTATTGAGAGTTCAACTGCATCTGAATACCGATTGCAGTATCTTTGTATCATAAAGTCGGCCAGTCCATCTCAATCTCCTCCAAGCCCCCACGTCCTTTGAATTTATTTACAACAGTGGCCTGCTCATGTAGGAGATGGTGGTTGGTCTGCGTCCCGATATTTGCGAGCTTTCGCCAGCGTTCTAGATCGACTTGGTTGCGTTTGTTCCCATGGGCTGCTTCTGCATTGTCCCAGTGTCCGGAGGAGAAACCAACAGCTGGATCCAGCACAGTCACTCATACCTTCCAACCAGTTACACTGCCACAATTCGCCTTCTCTTATGCACTGATAGTCGACTCTCTGGTAGTTGATACGCCCGGCCATTGGACCCCCATTAATAGCGTAAACGATTCGATCTTCGTTGTAGAACCACATCTCATATTTCCATTTCTCAGGCGCACCGTTTTCCGGGTTCTGTGCATCATAATTATAGATGAGATGCACTGACTTCATGTCCCTCTCGAATGCGTTTATGACAAACTGTGATTTATGCGGCCATAACATTGTGAAAAGTTTAGTAGTCAAGGGATTAAACAGACCACCAGAATATGTTTATATACTTTAGACAGCAGTCATGTCTTATCTAGTCTAACGGTATCTTCGTTGGGCGTACCTGAGTCGCACAGTCATAGTCCGTTTCTCTAAGGGACATTTTAGTATATCTACGGGCTATTTTTCGTGTCATACCACGCTCAGACATGACCAAATACAATCGGATACAATTTGAGGTCCTAGACTAGAATTGTATGATTAGTCACCCTAAAAGTACGAAATGAGCTTGGAATGACCATGGAGCTTAAAGACCAGCGATGAGGATACCGAAGAATTATTCAACCCGTAGCGTCTTAAATAATCCGTAACCTTCAAAAACCCCGTAGCGTGTAGTAAGGATTTGGATTCCACACGTCTGGAAGTATTAATGCCTCGTGGGGTAGGGGGTTGCAAAAGTCGTAAATCGCCGACCTCCGGCGCGCGTCGTCTACGGTCTAATACTACTTATAATTACTATCTCGAGGGTCGTGAAGCCAATACACCCGAGAAAGCACGCTCTTATACACTCTGAGACCACCGAATACCCTCTAAAAACGCACTAAGAGCCTTCGGTTGCGTTTGCGAGTACCTATATTTAACTGTCTATACACGGCTCTCTAAACGCGAATTACGAGGCTCGCCAGCTATTAGATGATAGAGGAAATAGTATGGCGAGCCATTTTTAGACGAGTCTCAGCAGGGAGTTGATCGCGAGGGTCTGAGACTTTTTGGTTCACAAAAAACACGATTTTCACGAGTTTGCCCGATCAGAAGTAATGCATGATCGCATGGCCCTTCTGAGTTCTTTCCGGTCTTGTTGGGTGGGGGAGGCGTCTGGGTTTTCCCTGACGTCCTGTGCTACCTGGCTTGTGTCGGTCCGTATGGGGCCTTGGTATCTTATGCGTCTTTTACTTGTGGGTAGCGGTAGTAGCTGTTGGCACTGTGTACGTAACCTTCCGGTGTCATCTCCTGGGTCTGTTGTGTAGCGTTGAAGAGATTTCACAAAAACGCCTCGCAGGAGCTCGTACAATAATCAAGAGGAGGAAGAGGTAGGATTTCTATTAGGTCATCCCCATTGGTAGCAACGCGAACAGCATAAAGTTCCCACAGCAGGTTCTCGTGTGCTGGCACAGCACAATGAAGCACTTGTCATCGGTTCTTATGCTATCTCCTGAAAGATCCTTACCGAAACTGTTCGCTCGCGACATCGCTGCTTACAGCGATGCGGAACTGGACCGATAGCTGGTCGAGCACGGAAGGTGAGCACTGCATGCCATCACCCATCCTACTGCCTTGCTAACACATACCGTCCGCGGTAGGCGTCTTCTTAATTTGCTGCCAAGAAAAAAAGTCTCAAGCGACCGGGACATGCCCCACTAGAAATGCGCTTTGCACAAGGCGAGGTGAGCCAGTACGACAACAGCCTTTCACATTTACTGCGTGATCTAAGCAACCTCCGCCACACTACAAACTTCAATCGTCCATGAGAATCTGTGTAGTCGTCATTCTTGATGAATTCAGGTCTTTGGCCTTTGTATTGCTATGGTAGCTGTTGCAATCTAGGACTAAAGGACCCTACGGCATCGCTAATGATAGGGTTAGCTGGCAACTGGCCGAAGAACAAAAATAACCAGATAAGCACGTGCTTAAGGATTGTATTGTAAGCTAAGAAGCGGCACAGATATCATAGATTACACCGAACGTGTGAGTGGGTCAGATCGTTATGATGTCCCTCTCGTAGATATAACATAAGACGTTGACACCAATGGAACCTAGCTTTGATAAACCCACATGTTAGTCGGAGGGAGCATAACCGCGCCTCCGAAGCAGCACATATATGAATATACAGGGGCTGCCGACATGCAGAGCAATATGCCCGAAAGCTAGCACGATTATAGCAGCGTTCTTAGGCCAACTGAAACAAAGCCAATGTGGCGCTCTCGCGTGTCTAGATTTGGCATTTCATCTAGCTAAGTCGACGTGCTTTCTTTTGCGTAAACCTTATGGTTGCATGGCTCCCGCTAGTTAAATTTCTTAGGCGCTCTGTAGCCGGCATATGCGGCTTGTTTATGTTTTCGGTTGAACGCAGGAACACTTGCTGGTCGACCAGGCATCTCACGTCGGTATGGTGTGGGTAGTGTTAGTAGGAGGTCGTGGGCTATGTGCCGCAAGGACTCAAGTCTCTACGATTAATTCGAGTCGACTTGAACATACACCGAATACTGTGTTCACCTCCATTGCATCACCTGGCGGTCATCCAGTGTCCTCGTTAAGGCGAACAATGGATCCGTCTGTAACTTTTTCAGCGCAACACACGCGTTTTTTACCCGATACCTCTAATTTGGAAAACCTTATATTTTCCTTAATAACTCGAGATTAAAGACTCTAGAAGATATTAAAAGATTCTATATATCTCTATTTATATCTTAAGAATATTTATTAAGTTCTTTTAAAGATTAAAGGATCTAAAAGAGATAGATAATAGAGTAAATCTCTATTTTCTCTCTATCTTTACTGTATACCTTAGTACTTTAGAAGTTACCCCTCTATATACTTTAAAATTATAATTATAGAGCTTTTCTTAGAATAACTAATTAATATATTCTTTTTTCGCAATTTTCTTATATAGAAAGTAAGAGACTATATAGAAGTAAATTAATATATAATTAAAAAACTTCCTAGAGTTCTAGTTCTAGAGATATTAGGGAAAAGGTAAGTTTTAAGAATGGGAGAAAAAGTGGTATGTTGAGCGCGCGACACGTGCCAAGAGTTGCGCTGAAAAAGTTACGGACGGATAGTGTGCACTACGATTCAAGCGGATCGCGATGAGCGCTTAGCGGCGCATTGTTCGAATGGTTCGATCTGTAACGCCGGTGCATTAGTCTTGACCCCTGATAGACTTTCTCACAGGGCGCATGCAGCATATCATTGCCCGCTGGTGTGGGACAACGCGGCACGGGCAGGCTACTGATCTGCTCGAGGAGGGTCCCTGGGAGTCGGTGTATTCATACATGTTCTGCTTCTGAGGCGCGGTCATGCTCCCTCCGACTAACATGTGGGTCGAAAAGGATTATCTAAGCTATATATGGTGTAGTGCGATATGATCCTGCACTGGTACAGACATGCTAGCCCGGGGTAAAGCCGCTCTTGGCAGCATATTGTTGCCAAGAGCGGCTTTACAAACAAGGGAACCGGAAGGAGTGTCCTCCTCACAGTATTGTTGCCAGGACACTCCTTGCCGGACCAGCACTCCGATTGCCCAGTGGAGCAGGGATCCTGTAGACTGCGCCCCGCGCCAGAGCATGCCTGAAACCACGCTGTGGTCTTGACCCTTGATAGACTTGCAGACTGGCGGCTGGTGTGCGACAAAGCAGCACTGGCACTACTGATCGTCGTATACGGGATCAAAAGTGAGTCCTCCAGCCTCCCAACCTGGCATTCCGACTCAAGATATGTCATTTTCGACCAGAGAATCCCAGCATGGGTGGGGATCGGAACCTAACATCCATGCTGGACTCGTTGGATTGCTTCGATGTATGGGTGCATGGATTGCCGCCAAGAGCAGCTTACCATCTAGCTGGGTATCATGATCGGTAAATATCGGCGCGTCTGGCACAGAGCCTGTCCCGGCACCCGACTTTCTCAAGATCGCAGCAATATTTCGCCACTCGTTTTCTGGGATTTTGAGACGTAAAATTTCAGAGCCTTCGACAAGATGACAGGCAAGTAGGTCCATGGGGTCTTCTGTAATGGCTTCCTCAATAAATTCAATACGAAATCCAAGATCAAAAGCCATCCTGGCTAACTTGCATATGACAGCTTGGTTCGATCGGCTAAGAGGAGGTTTCGGGTGCCCTAGCTCTTTCCTAGGAGTGAAATTCGTCACATCAGTGAATCGCCGTAAGCAGAATGTCCACAGTTGGAGATATGCGAGTTGTTTCTCATCATGAGGATTCTCGGTCATGGCCTCAACATTATTACCCTCCCCCCACTCGATGGTGAAGCGCGTTGGTCTGAAATAGGCTGCCGAGAACGCATCCCATATACTATTCTTTGAGGTTCCCGCAAGTGTACGAAGTATACTACTGGCGGGTTCGAGAAGCTTTAGATTTTCGAAGAATGTCCTAATACTAGGTATCAGGCAGTCAATCGATAACAATTGGTCGTGCACCGTTTGACATCAAATTTATTCGGGCTTTTCCGCCTTTGATTGGGCCTCGACTTGACGTCTGTATAGAAAATATTCCAACTACACGAGTTCCTCTTGCTGTTGTAGTACGTCAGACTGCTTCAAATACTGATCAACGAGATTTTTTGTTTTATATCATTTTGGGCCCCCTATACTTGCAGGGCCGAAGTGTGCCATGAGGTATATTTTACTCTCTAGGTTGGGTATCTGCACTGTAGATGCCTCCACGTTCGAACGTCAGGAATATACACTTCTAGAACCTACATAGGCAGGGACTTTTTGAATGTATCATCCACCCCGCCCACAAAACAGCAGCCAACCTTCGAACGCGATAATTCACAACCAGCCGAAATATTGAAGTGGTCTAAGTAATATTCTGGTACAAATTGCGATTATCCCGAAAGGATTGACGCACAAGGGCTATGCCCGAGCGTCGCCGGAATCCGCGTCTATTGTGAGACTCTCGTGCAGTGGTAGAGGTGGAGGCGTCGGTGTCCCCGTAGTGTCGTATGCACCACGTCTCCAACCATAGCACTCAGTGTACACGTGCATTTGTGCCCTGATTATGTGGCATAGTTAGCAAGGAATATCAAACGATGAAAGAGCATCTTACCTAGTAGAAATACGAAAGGGGAAGTTCAACAGTCGAGGCGCTGTAGAAACAAAGACGTTGATGTACAAGATGGACTATTAGAGGTTGTTCTGGAAGAAGACAAAGACGACATAACTACAAAGCCTAGACTTGCAATAGCGGGTTAAGATAAATGGTGGCAGTGCGCGTAGGATTTGGTAATGCTAGATTGCAACGCTTCTGATAGGGCTTGACTAGAGCTGGGATCTTATCCTTACAACATCTCCCGCGAGACATTCCCTGATCATAAGATTGACACATATGGCACTCGTCCACGTCGCCACATTAACTTCAACTACGACGGACTGCAAATAGAATCTAGTCATATGCTACAAGTGATGTCACAGCTCACGGTGTATTGGATTTTGGAATGCAGACCATTCAGCATCATTCATACCTAGCAAAACGACCGCGCTACACGAGCATCATGTCTCAAGCAAGCTCGCAAGATGGTAACAAGTATCTGATCAGCCACTAGGGCACCCTTTGCTTCTCTGACACGCTCCACTAGATTCTCCCATGACACTCGCGTGTTTCGGTGGTACCTGTGCATGTTTCCCGTGTCAACCCCAGACCTTAAGACCGGCACCAGGGCTATCAGGTCTGCGTAGAGCCCCGTATTGTTCAGTCGCGGGAAGAACAGTCCCCGTGTATCTTGAACGAGATGGGTGCGGAAATGTGCTAGATAATTGTCGTGTCGCAAGAAAGTCTGACGACATGGTCCTTCTTTTCGATGGTGGCCAATATCAGAGCTTCTTAGCATGATATCACAAGTAAATGTGCGTTCCTGGTCGTGTGTCTCCTGGTGACGCTTTAGATGCTCTAATTTGCTAAATTTTCGACCACAATGGACTCCTTTTACCCTCTTAGAACAGATGAACTGTCTCCGGGGCTGAACAGTTATGACGCCTGAGCATTTTTGTTTCTGCACCTTCATTTTGGAAAACATATCAAGATTGCACGAGTAGTGCTCCCACATCGTTTCTACGTTGTATACTTCTTGACTTTTACAGGCCCCAGAGGTAGAAGATGCCGATGAGTTCGTATTGGCTGCACTCTGAGTAAGACTGCATTCAATCCTGTGCAAAGTCGCACCAGACTGGCAATGCGATCTGCCAACAGCAATCCCCAGTCCCTCCGTACATATGTCGTCTATAACATGTGGCGATGGACAAATAGAACAGCCATCAAGATTAAGCTGCGAGTTTCGGTAGCTGACAGTATACGGACTGGAGGGTTGATTCTCGGGCCACTGGCAGGGGGAGCTGCCAAACTGCTCACCTAGATACATAGTCAGTAGAGTATGAATCCGCCTCCGGTCTCGTCCACCACGTACCTGAAACAGAGAAGTGAAATGTTGACATGACGTCTATCAACCATGAAAGAACACCACTATGCTATGCTGTATCCTCCCGCAGAATCGTTTCTCTCTAGCAGAGGTGTTGTCTCTATTCCAAGAGTACATCCGCTCACCACAAGATGCAGTAGAAGGCGTGGAGAGATATATGGCTAAGCTAGGAAAGGCAGAATCCAATTGAAGCCTCTATTATTGCATGCAATAAGGATCAAGTCGTAGTACTGTCAAACCTAAAACCAGCGCGAATCGCTGGACCATAGACTTAAGATACCACAACACTAGCGCAAGGACGATGCTCGTTCAAGAACATCCGCTCGCAGAACGCGTACTATTGGTGATGGGAGATTGCCCGGGCGAAGCGACTAAGGCTGAGTTCTGTCATTTGATACCTGATAAAGAAGCACCTATCGAGATGCCATTAGCACATGAATTTTGGTTACGGTCGTCAATACCAAAGTCGCGCTGGGAAGACTTGAAGGCAGACCCACGTATGGCCAATCTTTATTGGCCGTGCAATCGCCTCATCCTTGGGCACGTCAAGCCATTGAACCCCCCAGACGAGATCATGATGATACCCAGCCAGTTGGCTGGAATTCCAATTCGTTGTGCAGGGATAACCTGCATGGTGTGATTTGGCAGGATAAAGCTGCTCTTGGCGGCAATCCATGCACCCATACATCGAAGCAATCTCATGCGGGATGACTTACTTTTGATCCCGCATACGTCGATCAGTAGTGCCAGTGTCGCTTTGTCGCACACCAGCCGCCGGTATACTGCGTCACCCTGTCAGGGGTGGTGGGGGAAGACCATTGACCAATAATGCACCTATCTATCATTGTGTCCTCTTGGAATGGTGCCTGATGCGCTGCAACTATCTTTCAACCCCATGTAGACACGTTCTGGTGAATGATCGCATTGGGAAAGAAACAGTTAGATGCACTTAGAGTGCTGGTCAGGCAAGGAGTGCCCTGGGCCGGGGTGAGGCCGCTCTTGGCACCAGTTTGTTGCCAAGAGCAGCTTTACCCTGGCTGAAGAGCGTCCCAATACAACGCAGCTTCTGTTCGGGTAAAGAAGGAGGACGCCGAGGCCGCGAGATTAAAGAGCACACAGAGACGAGGTATTAATATCGATCAAGAGAAATACAATGCGGCGCTTGTCATCCTTACAGTCCTCTTTGAATGTGACCAGTGAATTGGCGAGATAAAGCAGTGTGCGAAGCACAACCAACAAACCACACTGTTTCTAGTCACACCTGGTCCAATCAATATGACATTGAAGCCAGTTCAGGAGACGAGGAGCCAGGAAAGACTACTCCCAAAACGCCTTCAGAAGGTCGGCCCGGGATACGATACTTGCCACACAATACCGGGCCTGATTGTTGGCTATCCCAACTTTTTTTTTCGTACGTGCGGCCGCGTCACCAAGACATTTGGTGAACTTACATGCGTAGTGCCAATGATGTATACCTTCAATTCAAAACATATACACTTTGAGTTAAGCTAGGTAATAATAATCCGCTCTAATGTAATTTTCGAAGATATACGGGGTCTTTATGTTTTGAGTTTGTCGTTGACCATGAACCTATTCACGAGCTCCGGAGTATAACTCATTATCCCCCATCACTGGAAAGAAGGCAACTGCTGTGGAGGACGAGACAGTAGTGCTGCATATCTGTTGCATGAACCAGGGGGTGAGGGTAAAGGCAGGTACCTTGATCATACGGCTAAACCGTGGCCCCGACCGCAAAAATCCGACTTTTTGCGGTCGGGGCCACGGTTTAGCCGTATGTTGGGCTACTTGCCTGTAGATTGATGCACTAAGTATGCAAGCCCCCAGTATCGTGAGACTGCCCTTCATGGAGCTCCTCATAGCACGTGGAATTGTCCTACATTATTACTTGGCGAAATGGTATACAGATGCCTTGGGCTATCCTTAATAAAGGATTTAATATAGATGTTAATTATCAGGGAGGCCCAACCACACATCTTTGAAATGTAACCCCTGCTGGTGGGAGAGCCATGTTATTGTCATTTTAGAGAAGAATAGCATGAAATTTCCTAGTAGCGCAATTCGAACAGTAAAGAAATACAAACGCGTTGCTAGGTCCCGACCCCTGTGTCTACTTTTGTTTTTCACGGACCAGTGAGCAACCCACGCCCAACACTACGAAGATATCTTGCCTGTTCTGTATCACCTCTGCTATTAGCGCCGTAGCTTTGAGTTGGTATACTCTGAACGACCGTCAGAAGCACCCCCATAACGATCCTTTTCAAAATTTAACGATTCTCGCGTGGCCCCTTTGACTTACGGGCTCATCTGGCGCTTTCTGCGAAGTAGCTTCCCCATATTACTCGCCCCGAAATACATAACTTCGTATGTCTCTGACCGGTCAACACACCGTCATTTGGTTGCCTTCTTCACCACTCGATATGTTTGACACAGCCAAACCTATTCCATGTCCGTATGGCAAGGCTGTCCCTTCTCCGGGCCTGCTACATACGTTCGCCCTTGTCTGTTTTCCGTTCTGTCTGTTCGTCGTCTACAACAGCATTACGGCACTAACGCCCCAGTGGAAAAGCTACGGTCCCTTATTCTTAAGTTCTGCCAGCGTCATCTGTATCATTATAGAACTCTCCTCGAATCATGAGGCAGAACTTAGCCAGGCACTATTATCAATCAGCAGTGTATTCCTACATCTATACGATGTAAGTCTACTTATTCATTCGTACTCCACGAGAATAGACTTTAACAATTTCGTAGTTTTTCTGGCTATTTCTGATGTTTAGCCCCGATTACTTCCACATGACGTTTCCTACTTGTATAGTATCTAACGTTGGAGTGTGTGTTGTCTCGTAAGTTTTTCTTTTATAGTGGTTAGTACATCGTTTAATGCCTCAGGATCTTGGTACTACTAAAAGTACTGTCGTATGAGTGGGCCCGCTCCTGCTGCATTTGGCAGACAGCATTCTACAGCTTTGCTGCCTTCTGGTGTTGGATGTCTTGGTCTCAGAGGTCGGGCATCCACACGCTCCACACGCCACCTTACAACATAATGCTCATCAGATGCTTCGTATACATTGGGGTGTCTGTAGTCGCACTGATACTCGCTGTGTTCAACATTCAAGCTGTGAGGAGCCTTATGAGTGCCATAGAATTTGCTAATCTCCTAGAAGGGATTAATTCTAGCTAGTGTCTCCTCATTATGTCCTTCCGTCTT